AAACAATAAATCATAATATCCTACATTGTACTTAATAAACACTAACACTATTACCGTTACAAACCCTGCAAACTCCTGTAAACGTCGCTGTTTAACCCTTGACCACGTAACTTACCATACTTGCATTCATTGACCCAAAGTAACTGAAAGCCTTTCTCGCCCACAAGCCAAATCTAACACCCTCTTTCGAAAAGGTTACTTATTGTACATTATGTGAGGTTTAGAATTTTGGAGCGACAGAGTCGCAAACTTCCAAACCCAACAAGATCAACTATTTCATTTGATTTAGGAGGTAATTGGCAATCCAAATTTAAAAAAGTATGTACTTGTTCTAACCTGTCTACAAGAAATGGTGCAATTGGTTTATTCTGAATTTTAAAAAACTCAAGATTTTTGATTAACCTATATATTAAATAAATAGAATAAATAAAATAGTAAATACTAATATTTATATAAGTACATGTTTTACTTACAATTGTGCATTAAAGGTTATAAAATAAAGAATAAATCGCAGATAAAACAAATTATCACAATTTTCAAAAACTTTAACCAACTCTAAAACTGTTGTACTCTCATTATCAATTTCAGATTTTTTAAAATAAAAGTTAATTAAATGCATAAAATGATCACAAATCCAAAATGCAAACTAAAACCATATGTTTCATCTTGTTTTTACAAATAATATTGGGAATGTAGGATTAGAATACCTATTTGAAGAAAGAAATGAGACTTATTATTTCCTAGCTGAAGAATATATAAAAGTCATTTTAATTAAATTAACTATAGAATCAAGGAGTTTAAAATTTTTGTATTCAATCTATGTTTCTCTTACCAAATTGAATATGTGAGCAAAACAGATATTATGTTTGATTTGCAGCATTAAAGATAAGAGAATGTTAAACACAGCTAACATATATGAAGCACTATCAGTAATAAATAATATTATATTTTCAAAAGAAATTTCATAATATGATAATGTTGAAATAACAAGCTGAGAAATCGTGGTCTTGTTAACAACTTATAAAAAATCCATCTTAACCAAATTAGTTTAATCAAAATAACTAAATAGAACATTTACTACTGCCCTACTACAAGAATCTATTATCTCATCTATTGTGATACAAATTTTTTTCTCACCTAACAAATTTTTAAGTTTTTGTTCTTGTTATTGAAATAAAATCAGAAGATACTTCTTATGAATTTGATTAGTACCAGGAACTGCATTATCATATTTACAATGTTCTTGTAAGAAAGATTGAAAATGTTGTATTTTTTCAAAAGGTATGTCAGTTTCAGTGAATATTTTAACTAATTCAAGAACAAATTGTTCTCTTTTATCATAAAATTTGTTAAAAGAAATAATCACAAACTGAGAAAGAGTTTTTTGAGATTTTTCAAGTGCTAATTTTTTTTTTGATTGATGATTAGAGAATGCCAAATGGTTGTCTATTATAGATTTTTTTTATGATCAACAGTGTTTTGGCAAAACTGACAGAAAAGTTTTTCTCCATTTGCATAAAAATCAATTTTATATAAAGGATTTCTGGTAAGTTATTCTGACTGTAACTATGGTATTTGATGTTTTAATTAGGTATTTTTTTTTTATTTCATCAAGCTTTCTAACAAATAGCAAAAAAAACTAAATGTTTCATTTGTTTTATAAAAAATGTTATAACTCAAATTATCTTTTTTTTTTTGAAATCGATAGATTTTGAGACTTTTTTTTTTTTAGCTTTGTTTCCTATTTCATTATTTTATATTTTATGTATATTGATATAATGAATTACTGAATAAGAGAGTCTGTTAAAGCTAGGTACATTGTTATGGCCAGGAAGAGCTTTATATCTTCAAACCAGATTTAACTCAGTGCTGCAAGCATTAATTACAAGACTTATAATATACTTCAATACACAATTACAAGAAAAATACTTCAAGTGTAACTAATACCAAAAATAATCTTTTTTTTTTATTAGTGTATTAAAACTCTTCTTTTATACTACCTATTAGACTTCCTAATTATTATGCAAAGCATAAAATACTAATTTAACTCTACAGAATATCGCAATGATTAACAAAGCATAATATAGCAAATGAGTTTAATCATATTATAAAGTTATACAGAAGAAAAGCATAATGTTAAAAAATTACATCTATCTACTACATATATTGTATTTTTGATATTTATATAACCCACTAACAATAACTGAATTAAAAAAAATAATTCTAACTGGTACTTGGCTTTAACATTCCTCCAAATAAGGCAATTAATTAATTTATCATTTATATTATATCTACCAATCACATTCTTACCACATGATTTTTATGCCTTTTTCACCTAATTATGCAAAGCATATGTGATACAAAAAATAGTTATTTATATGCATAGCATCGTATTACATAATTCTGGACACCCTAACATAGAAGGAGGTGATCGATGTGGTGCAATAACAATTAACAGCTATGTCAATTATCTACCTAATATAGGCTTCTTGGGATTATCGTTCCTAAAGTTGTTTATATCTAATAAGGGCAATAAGGGAAATAGATGTGAATAATGATTAATAAGTAATATGTTTAATGGGTTTAATAAGTTTAATACCTTAAAGAATGCATATATAATAGAATAATATATAATAAAGGCTTTGAGCCATACAAGAACAGTTCAGTTTGTGTTTATCATAAAATTTATTTCTAATAATTTTCTGTTTAATTATATTGTAAAACTTATAATCATAAACATATCACTCTTCAAATCTAATTGTTTCTTATTGACTAAGCTGTTTATAGATTATATGACATATCCATTGACAAGTAACTGACTTGACATTTCACTGGTATCAATTGTTAACAGCAAACCTGTACCTCTAGGTTTTGAAAAACTGCCTAAAATGGATAAATAGTAAAACCCTGAATTGATACTGCATAAGATAGTTGTTATAATTGTTAAGTTCTTAGAACAATTATCATTAACTGACTCAAAATAATAAAATGATCTTCATTAATCTGATTAACATAGATAAAAACTAAAGTGAGTCAATAGATTAATATTGCTTTGTCAAGAAAGTCTATAGTCATGTTTAAGCTTAATTATATATTTGCATAATTTTTTATAGTTAAAAAATGATATTGAAAACATTTTTGAATGTCTAAAGTTATTAAATAACTAAAAAAGTTAGAAAAAAGTATTTGAGATAATGAAAATAATGTATTAGCATAATAGTTAAAATTTTAAAAATATTTATCTTATTTTTTTATAAAATCTTTATAAAAAGAATATATTTTTGCTTAAATAAAAGATTGTGTATTAATCTTGATCTACAAAAATTAATAATGATATTATTTGGAATACTCTTTCTGCAAATCCATTGCACAAAAATTAACAAAAAATTCGTCTGTCTAAAAACTCTTATAACTATTTATTTTATTAAGACAACCTGTCCTAGGCTCTTAAGTAAACTTATTCAGCTCATCATTTTACATATATCCTGCAAATATTAAGCTTTAATAATTTAAACTCATCGAGAAAACTGTACTAACGATCTTTGGCCTCCAGTTTATATCTTTTAATCATCTTGCAGTTTCTATTGTCTTAACCTGTTCTATACCCTTAATTAAAGTTGTAGTATTCAGTCACCCAGTCAAAACAAGTCCTAAACGAAGATTTTTGACTCAATATTGATCGAACTACAACTAAATTTAATATTTACTATCTTGCAAAACTCTTTTTCTATTTTTTGTCCTTATCCCATCCTCTTTTTCCCTTACACGTTTTTCATGTAATTATACAATCATTTCCAAATCCATATCTTATTAATTTACACCAATATCTGTAACCAACCTATTTATAGATATTCATTCAACATAATCTATTATTACTATATTTGGTTCCTATCTATATTACACAGTA